ACACTTAGCCATTGAACTAAGTTAAGATCTTGTTAACATTCATCCAACACTTATATTTAACAACTGTGTTATCAACTCCCATATCATTTTCTATTATTTATTAACGGAAAATGATCAACTTGTTACTTCTTGAGTAACAATTTTGTAACATTTCGTAGTCAGGAGATAATCAAAAAGCTTGTTATTGTCGAGTGACTGTTTGAATAATTTTTCCTAAAATACTATTAAACTTTTAGAGGGTGAACTGCCATGTACGATGGATGATCTTATTGTGATTGCAATGCAACTAATAAAGAAATGAATTTACATATAATAAAATTGGACTGGTGAAGTTATTAATTAGGCGAAGCTAATCAACTCCTCCTTCCCAGATTGAAGTAGAACCACAGCAGAAAATGTCTTCTTCTCCCCCTTGTCCGAAGCTTCGATCTTGAGAAAGTATTTGGTGTCCTGTTGGGCGGCTTGCACCACCTTCACAAACTCCAGTTGATTTCCCTTCTTGTTGTTCTCTTCCACAGCGAACCTCCCTAATTCTTCCACCTCTTCGTCCGTCGTTGCATCGCCAATCGGCTGTTATGACTGTGGAAGGAAAAATGAGGACTTGAAGAGTAAAAGGAGAAATTAGGGTTTGATGAGGTGGAATTGGGGATTAAAATCGAGAAGAATTGGGAATTAGGGATTGGGGAGATCGACGGGGATCAAAGAGGATGGAAGTGTTATGAAGCATTACCTAAACGGCAGCGTTACTGGGTGTTAGTGAAGTTGAGCTGAAGACTAATACCAAGGGCTGAAGGAAAGGGCCAGATAACAAAAATATTGAGATTAAGGGTTGTTAGTTTGATTCTGAATAAAATTATTTAATGTTGAATATTAAATCGTTCAGTATTTAGATTGTTTGTTTTTTACTTCTGAATGATTCAGTGCTGATTGAATCAGTAAAATAGTACTGAATGATTCAACACATAAATATATTTTAAATGATTCAGAGTCATTATCACACAATATCACATTCAGAATTAATTCACACAGAATTACTGAAGCATTTAAATCATTTTATGTTTAATTATTTATGAGTTTAATTATTATGTTGTAGTTGTTTGATTATTGCTACAGCTGGCAATTACATCAAATCCGTACATTGTATAGAATAAGTAAATTGTGAAAGTGTACTGGATCATTTTTATGAAATTCTAATGGAAGTTCTTTTTCCCTTTCTTTCTACATTCATAACAAATTGGTAACCGAGCCACGTTTACTGATCCAAATCCAAGCTGGGTAAGCACAAGAAATCATCTAAAATGGGTGAAGATAAGCCACCATAGTTAATGGAGTCAAGTAGTGAAGAAAAACCATAGGGTGCACCTAAATGGTGGGAGGAACAGAAGGCTATTGGGGAGGAGAGATTCAACACATTGGAAGCTACAACAGAGGAAACCAAAGGTTATTTAGAGAATTTATTGAGCCTGATGTCTAAAAGTGCTGATGACACAGAACAACCAACACCAATGAGCAAACCGAAGATAGAGGAGAAAGCTAATGACAAATATGTAGGTAAGAGACTTTTACAAGTTACTGTGATTAATGAGCATGAAAAATATTCTTTTAGACCAGAGGAACCAGGAGTTTTAGCTTCTAAACCTGATACACAGCCATTTCATGAGGCTACACCTTATAATGCTCAAAAAATGAAACTGGAAAATAGCTGGAATGAGGTAGGGGAGCAGTCTAGTCAAAAGAATGCAACGAGTACAATGATTAACAGACCAAGATTGGAACTTTAATTTTTTGATGGATCTAATCCTAGGAGTTGGTTAAAAAATGTCAGAAGTATTTCAACATTTATGCTATCCCTGATTTTCAGCAAGTAGAAGCGGCTATTATGTATTTGACTGGAAAAGCTAAAACTTAGTTTGATGGTTACATAATGCAAAAGCACAAGGTCACATGGCATGAGTTTGAGGCTGATTTACGCCATAGATTTGGGAGTAGCACTTACATTGATGTTGTTGAAGAATTTAATAAGCTATTATTACAAAGGGGCATTGTGGAGGATTACCAGGAAAGGTTTGATGAGTTGATGCCTTTCATATTTCAACAAAATCCTCATCTTGGGGAGGAATACTTTATCTCTAGCTTCATCAGTGGATTAAAGGATGAATTGAAGCATAGGGTTCGGGCACATGAACCAAAATCATTGGCTGCAACATATAAGCAGGCCAAATTGCATGAACTTTCCTGTGATATTAAGAAGTTCAGAAATCCTGTTAGAAAATTTCAGTTTCTAATCAAAATCCAGTGGTGAAAAACTTTGCTTCCACATCCATTCAAAAACATACTGCTACACTTCCAAACACCAAGCAAAGCCTACTGGATTACAGGAGAGCCCACAATTTTTGTTTTAAATTTGGAGAGAAATTTGGCCCTGGCCATCAGTGTAAAATGAAGCAATTAAATATGATGGAGGAGGACACACCAAATGATGGGGATATACAGCTGGAACAGATTAATTCTGACGCTAAGATGATGCAGGAGGATGGAGAAATGGATGATGGTGCTCTTGAGATTTCCATTAATGCCTTGAATGGGTGTGCAGGGCATAGTACTATTCGAATCCAAGGTAATATTCAAGTCAAACTCTTGAATATTTTTGGTTGACAGCGGCAGTATTCATAGTTTTATTACTCCGGAATGAGCTAAAGATGGGGTGGAAGTGGTTCACACCAGTCCTTTACTCATCACGGTTGCTAGTGGAGAGAGATTACAAAGCACAGCTAAGACCAATCAGTTGCGATGGAGTATGCAATGGTACTACTTTAAACATGATTTTCGGGTTTTGCAAATGGGAGGTAGTGATATGGTTCTTGGCGTGGACTGGATGCGGAGGTATAGCCCAATTTTGACGGATTTCGAGAGATGACTTTGACATTTCAAAAAGACAATGAGACTATTTCACTTCAAGGGGGGAAATGACGCCCTTATATGAAGCTGATCTCAGGCGAAAAAATGCAGAAACTTACATCTATACATCCAGAAGCTATTGGTGAACTATATTGGCTAAGTGCAGAAGCGGAGTGGACGATCATGAAGTTCCTTGCGCCTTACAGCCCTTACTTGCTGAATATCAGCAAATATTTGATGATCCTAAAGGATACGTTTTCGATTCAAGTGGTCGAGGATCTTTTGGATGAGTTAGCAGGTTCTGTGTACTTTTCTAAAATTGATTTGAGATCCGGATATTGGCCAATCCGAATTCGTGAAGAGGACATACCGAAGACAGCTTTTCGAACTCATCATGGCCACTTCAAATTTAAGGTCGTGCCTTTCGGTTTGACCAACTCTCCTGCTACATTTCAGTCTTTGATGAATATCCTATTTGGCATATTGCGGAAATTTGTCGTGGTTTTTTTTTTATGACATATTGGTTTACAGTTCCACATTAGAGGACCATGTTGCTCATTTGCGGACTGTTTCCACTTCCACTGTCGTCGTTTGTCCATTAACCGCCGTGAACAACATCGTCAAAATCATCGTGGGCACTGCAAGGATTCTCAGTTCTGCTTTGGCCATTTTTTTACTTTGAATTCGTTGTATAGTTTGATTGATAATTATGATGATATATATACAGGAGAGAGAACTGAACATGAGGAAAGAAGAGTGGTGTGCAATGATTGAAGAGACGCAAATTAAGGGACCAAAATGCTTTGAGAGGGCAAGCGACAAGCAAGGCTAGATAACAGTCAGTTTTAACTACTTGTCTTACAACTCCGGTTAGTTCTATTTGGTCCGTTTTTTATCATTTTCTATTTTGAAATGTTCCTGTGTCCCTACAATCACGCCATTAAAATGGACCGTAAAGCTTAAACATGTGGTAGAAGTAAAGAAGTAAAGGATGATGTTGAAGCTTTGTGATCCATTTCATATAAAGTAAAACTAATATTAATAAAATATCAATTGGTTCAAAAATTAATAAAAAAAAGACCATGTCATCATAAAATTGGGAAGAAAACGATCAAATAATAAAAATTCAATGAATAAAATTCAATGATTAAATTAAAAAATTAAAAATACAGTAAGTAAAATTTATATATTCGATATAATTTTAATTTAATATTTTAATTCATGTAAAAATAATATTTTAAATTAAAAAAAAAAATTTATTAAATATTTAATCAAATATATATCGAACTAAAGAAAGAAACTCTGCGTTCTCAAAATTTTTGATCTAATAACAATTTAAATCATTGTAAAATTTAATATTACACAAATCAAGTGTTAACTTCTGAATTTTAAATTTTTTTATATAAATCTAAAGTGAATATAAGATAATATCTATATAAAGATTTAATTATTTAACAATAAACGATCATACCTCTATATAATAAACTCAAGACCTCAATAATAACAATAATTCCTTAATTAATAAAGATACTCAATTTATAATGAAAGTTAAATTTAACTACCTAATAAATCTTTATAATTTTTTTTAAAATAATATAATATTTTGATCATATAAATATTTAATTCTGCGTAGGGGATAAAAGCAGGACGGAAATAACCTATCAACAACAGAGAGAACTGAACCAACTCGAGTCTTCAGATAATTGGTTGAAACTGAGTGTCAGCCAACCTTGCCAACTTATCTCACCCCCCTTAATTAGCGTCTCTTCAATCACTGCACACCACTCATCTTTCTTCATTTTCTTTATTATATATAATCAGATCATTATCAATCAAAATATAAAGAGGTTCAAGAAATAGAGAGGTTCGCGGTACAAGAGTACAACAAAAGAAACGGGGGTAGTAAGGCCCAACAGATAGTTTCCGGAACCAAATACTTTCTGAAGATCCAAGTATAGCTGAACGGGGTGAAGAATAAGTTTTCTGTTATAGTCCTGATTCTATCCGGACAGAAGGAAATGCTGAGCTTCACTGCACCTAAATAACAACATCGTCATTCGGATTTTATCATATCATATCATACATGTAAGGATAGATCTATATTAAAACACATATCATTACTTTATTAGATACATTCCAATCTGATCAAGATCATCATACATGACTGTTCATTGCGTATACCATCATCTAGATCATACAAACACCCCCATGATCAACTTGCAGATCTCTCTAATATTTGACAATAAGCAAATTGGAACTCGTGTTATCATGCCTTGCTGTCGATGGCCATGGGTGCCACCTCTTGTTTTGCCCTCTTGTTCATCTTAGCGAATATGTTACCGTAAAATTGAGCATCCTTCTTGTTGCATTCCTTGATTTTCTCCTTTAAGATTCGGTACTCCAGTTTCACATCCTTGTTGTCAGGGTCGATCTCCAAGGCCTTCTTTATATCCGCTTCAGCCAAATCGAGATCAACGAGTTGAATATATGCTTGAGTCCTCCTGTATAGAGCTTTCACATTCCTGCTATCAAGCTCCAACACCTATAAAACCACACACAGCGAACAGGAACCATCAGTCCAAGTGAATCAACATTTACCTTCAATCAAAACAAGTTCTAAACACTAGTACAGTTACAACCTTGGTACACAATTTCTCGGCCTGCTTGTAATCTTTGAGTTTCAGTTTGCAAGCCGCATTGTTAAGGTTGCAAGTTACTTTCAGCGACTTAGTCTGCTTCTTCTCTTCCTCGCTGAAAGATGAGTCATATTCTATGAGCTTAGCAGCCTGCACGAACAAATCGTCATTGTCAAATTCAGGAGTAAAGACAGTTTAAAAGTGTTGTAGGAATGACAAACTGCAGAGTGGATCATACCTTCTCATATCTTTTAGATGCTCTCTCGTATTTACCGGCTTTGAACAATGCATTCCCTTCTTCTTTCTTCTTCCCGGCAGATTCAATCTTTTCCGGTGTACTCATATCCCATGATTCTTTCTCCTGCAATCATGAACTTATTTAGAATGTAGTCACCACGACATCGATTGAAACAAAGAATGTACTTATTCACTGACCTTGACGAACGAGATCATCTCCACCTCGTAATAAACAGTTGAATTAGCCGGAACTACAGCCAACTCTTGCTGTGATTCAGATGAACCAAAAGCATATTCCGGCTGAATGGTGATAAGCGCATTTTCTCCTTTCTTCATGGTCTTCACGGCTTTGTCAAGGCCATCAATTACTTGTTCTGTCATAATTGTCAACCGTATTAGCAACCAACTTTAGGCAAAAACTCAAGAATCAAATGCTAAAACTATCATTACCTTCATCGATTTTGAACTCGAGCGGCTCTTTATCATAGCCTTTTCTCGCAAAGATCGTCCCGTTCGGTAGCTTCCCGACCAATTTCACTACCAAATACATATAATCAGTAAATAATACACTAAAATACTTGTTACATTACAGCAAAATGCAGAATTCAAACCAATCTTACCTCGAACCACCGCTCCGTCATTCGGTCGCTCGTAACCCTCTCCCTCTTTCAAAATCTTTTTCAAGACTTTCTTGTCTTTCGTGACATCCGAAACACTCTTCCAAGAAACCAACTCGAGAGTTATACGAAGGGTTGAGTTGGGAGGAACTTCACATTCCCCGCCATCCGCCGGCTTACCGCCCTCGCCGAATGCATCTATACTCAAATAAGCATCAGTCTAGTGTCATAGCATCCCTAAACGAATATAAGGGTACAAGGAATTTAATTTTAACTTACATTGTGGCTTCACTGTCAACAAGACCTTCTCCCCTTTCTTCATCGTCTTCACCGCCTTCACCATTGCCGGGCAGAAATAGCCTGCAGGGGGACAAATTTCAATACCCAAAAGTTCTTCAAATCAAGTGGGAATATATAACAGAAGGGAATAACAGTTACCATCTCCGACAGTGAATTCGACGCCATCCGATTTCGAAATCAGTGTACCATCTTCTAAACAAGCTTCGTACTTAACTGTAAAACACACAAGAACATAAGTAACAACAGAATGACATTAAACTTTAAACGGTTTAAATGGAAAGAGGAAAAGAAATCGTAGCATACCAAATACTTCATCCAAATCTTTTGGATTCTCCCAGCTTTCCCCTTCCACAAGTATCTTCTTCAAGATTCCCCCATCTTTGCATATGTCCTTTTCGCTCATCCAAGTAAGCAACTCGACATCGAATTGAAGAGTCGCGTTTGGAGGAATTGTCGGTGGTGAACCAGATTCACCATAAGCCAACTCGGGAGGTATAGTGAAAATGGCGTTTTCTCCTTTCTTCATCGTTTTGATACCCTCGTCCCAGCCTTTAATTACTTGTCCTGCAAGTTAATAAGACAAGAAAGCCTAATCCATGACCTTGAACTTGAATGGAGTATAGGAATATAAATACATACATAGATATATAATTACCTAGGCCAAGCTTGAACTTGAATGGAGTCCCTCTATCACGGCTGGAATCGAACTTGGTTCCATCAAGCAAAGTTCCAGTATAATGCACTACAAAAAGAGAAACCAACAGATGCAATCAAAATCTAACTACAAACAAATCAACGAATAAACGAAGAGAAAAAGATAAAGAAAATAAGAAGATTCATTACCTTCAACTTCATCGCCAGTTTTAGGATGCTCCCAACCTTCACCTTCCTTAACCAGCTTCTTCTTCAAACCATTCTTCCCAATCTCTTTCTCCTCTCCAACTTTGAGACTGGGTTAACTGGGTCTTCGTCTTCCGGATGTCCATCACATCTTCTTCCATGTTGCTGCCTGTTGGGAACTCGAAGTCGTCCTCCATGGCGTTTTCGCTGGACTGGGTGATTTTTTAGAAGGCAAATGGGCAATGCGAGGAAGCTTTTTCTTGGATTTTTGCTGATTGATTGATCGTTGAGAAATGAATTGAAGCCATGGGATTTTATAAGGAGGATATTGGAGCTGCGAACGGGGGACAGAGAGTCTAGATAGTTCTAAATGGCAACATACACAAAAGAGGGTTCCAGAATTCTAGCCCTTGTAGAGCCTTCTTTTGACAATATCGTTGAGATCTTCGCGCTAAATATTATTGATATCCGTATAAAATTATATAAAATCTAGTTTTAATTTTATTTTAATTTTTCATAGTTAAAAAATTAAAAATAATATTAATATATCGTAATATTATATCATTATTAAAAAAATTACATTAACATTCTATTAATATGATCAAAATAAAATAAAAACAAAATTTAAATATGATTTTAAAAAATAGTTAAATAATAAAATAAAATAAAAATAATAATTATGATACTAAATGTGTGTTATTTTTCAATAATATATATTTAGTTTATTCAATTATATAAGATTTTAGAGCGATTATAACATAATAAAATGTAAAGTTATTAAATAATTTAGAGGAAACTATTTATTTGCATCTACCTTATTTTCCTGTCATTGAATTATTTTTTGTTTAAAATTGTATTTAATGTCATATTTTAGACAAATGACATGTAAGTTATTAATTAGTAAAGAGAAAATAATATGAAAAATAAAAATCACTTCAGTATAGTTGTTAATTTTTGTACAATGAATATCAAAATAAAAAGTAATGCTATATAATTTTAAAAAAATTAACTAGGTCACTAAAACATAAATGTAAAAATAAGTAGGTGTCGAAAAAGAAAATATCCAATAATTTATTGGGCTATGCTAGAGCTATACTTAATTTAATGCCAAATTATAATTAATTCCAATAAGAAATATATATGAAAAATAAATAAAAAAAACAATGATATTTAAAATATTTTTTATAGGAATATCTAATTTTATTAAAAAGATGAAATATTATTATAACAAATATTTACAACAATAATCATAAACTAAACATAATTAAGATATTTTTATAACCATATAAAAAATAGTCACTTAAGATCACACAAAGACTATACAAGAAAAAGTTAAAACCCTAATAAAAAAACTAAAACAAAAGATAAATACAAACAGATCTGACTGTATCGATAAATGAATCACAAAATGGATGAAACTATTGGAAGACCACCAACAAATCACAAATCAAAGTCGAGCGACGTGAGAAAACAATCCACGAATACAAATCGCATAACCAAATTCAATCTGAAGGTATAAAGTAGGGAAGATAAACATGATTTTAAAATGACGAATTTTAAATCCAACCCTAAAAAAATATAAACAAAATCAACAGCCCAACAATAGAAAACATGTCATAAAAATATCAAAAAATACGTCATAAAGGTATAATTATTAAAAACTATAAAAAATAAAAGAAAAATAAAATATTATCGAGAACGACAACTAATATTAAAATTAATATCATTCTATAAGAACTCTGTCAATAAAAAATGAAGAGAGGACCAACCACGATTAAAATAAAAAAAAACTCTAATTATAAATATTAAGTGAATATTTTTAAAATGAAAATTTGCATTCAAATTAATATTTTTAAATATTAAGTGAATAATTTTGTTAGGAAAAAAGTGGATAAGTTATAAAAAATTAATAACTATAAGACTTGTAGACGTAAGCACTGAACAGTTGAATTAGTCACCTAACCAATATAAATTCTTTTAGAGCCTAAACAAAAATTTTATTTATACTAAATTTATAATTTTTATTTGAATTTTAATCATTTTAATATTTTCAATAATTATTATCTTAATAATTAAGTGACATCGTTATCGTTTTGTCTAATATTTTTAATATGTTGTTTGGTATTCTTCATTTTTTAGACAATTTTTATTTTAATCATTTTATTTAAGTTTTGAAGTTTTTAATTTTGTTTTTATTAACTTTTTTTTACCTTCCCGGATTTCAAGGCTTCATTTTAATTAATCTGGATTGACCCGTGTCATTTTTTTTCTTTTCAACGTTGTTTGATATCCTTTTTTACTATTTATTAATAGGTAAAAATTATCTTGTTTGTCTATATTACTTTATTTATTTAGAAAGACTTTATTATTATTATTGATATATTTAGGGATGGAGTTAGGGTTAAACTATAAGGGTCAAGTTATTTAACTATAAACAAATAGAATTTTTAAAATTGAATAAACTATAAAATTTAAAGGAGTTATAGTTTAATTACACTAATCTCAAAATTGATCTTAAAGAGTAATTAAATAAAAAAAGTTAGAGGTCAAGACATATTTTCGTTTTAAAACCAAAAGAGTCTTAAATTAATTAAATCAGAAAATATTAAAAATGAGAGTTAATTGTAAAAACTTTAAGATATTAATGACTTGAAAATAATTAACCCATCAAAGGACCATGATAAAAATTATAGGGATAATATAAAAATTACAGGGACCTAAAAATAAATAAAAAACAAAAGGTTAAAGGATCAAAATAGCAAAAACAAAAACTTAAAGTCTCAAAATAGTAATTATAGAAACTTAAAGGACCAGGATAAAAATACAAATAAACCAGAATCTAAATATCAAATATTAAATAATATAGGGATAATAAATGAAAATAACCCACAATTAAAAAAAGGACTAAAATAAAAGTAAAACATACAAGACCACAGTAATTAAATCAAATACCAAATGGTGACTAAAATGAAACACTTACAAATTTCATAGCCAAATTCGAAAATTAAAGAAAATAAATAACAATTGAAATCAATGACTAAAAGAAAAAAATTACAAACATTAGAACTAAAGTTAAATATTAATAATAACAACAAAATATGCATGAACAGGCAGGACTATAATGAGAACGTAAAGAATTAAATGGGCTCAAAACGTAATAACACACATGTCATGCAATGATCAAGTGAACAACTTACAAACTCCGGAGGACCAAATATAATATTACCCCACTTTCAAAAACATGCTGAATCCCTCCTTTTTTCACGAAAAATGACGTTCCTTTTGCTGGTATATAACCAAATGTTGGGTTATGAAAACCCTACTTTTCATTCCTCACCATCCACGCCGTTTTTTAGAGAGGGCACAAAACACTAACCTTTCTTTTTGTTCTACAGTTTTAGAGAACCCTCACGTCATCTCTTTCTTTGCCACAAATCGATGACTACCTTCACTCAAGCTTCCCCTACGACGATCGAAGCAAGGAGAAAGGAAGAAAAGCTCCACCTTTGCTTTCAAACACTCAAAAATAAGGTAAAAATAACCCTTTCCTATTTCTTTTTCTGTTTCTCTCTCGGTTTTTATCTCTATTTTCTTCGTTTGAAGTTTTTAATTTTTTCTTTTGAAATCCTCCCCGAAACCCCCGTGTTTCCTCAATTTTTCTCTCGGTAGTTTGTCTTCGAATATAATTTTTACATTTGTTATAGTAGCAAAAAACCTATCTCTGTGTACTTTTAGAACTCTAAAGGGATTGAAATGCTTGTTGGTTATGGTTGCTGAGGAAACCAACGGTGGTTGCGTGAGGGAGGTGTGGTAAAAAATGGGGAGCTTAGCTAACCATGGTGGAGGGACCATTGTTCATGGCTTGTTGACTTGGGTTTGGGCGGACGAAAACTGTGTTAACAGCTGTCCCTCTTTGTCCTTTTTCGTGGAACGAAAAAATAGGACAAAGATAAAATGACACAAATTTTGTTGGGTGGAGTTGAAAATTGACTCTGATATTTCAATTAAGAACAATTCCATGTCGAATTGAGTTGCGGATAGCTCCTCCGTCGTGAAGTCGTGTCCATCTTGAAATGATATGAAATTGAACATAGTTCGGATTTGAATCGGGATGCGACTTCTCGTTGCGAAATTGTAGTCAACTTCGGTCTTTTCTCGGTTTAAAGACATTGGTTTAAAAATTCGACTGGAAAATAGTTTCTTGACTTCACCATGTGATTGATAGTCTCTCGAAATCGAACTCAAAAATCTTCGTTGACGGATAGCTTTTCTCGACTAAAGTTATGTTGCCTGAAATGGTTACTTGTCATTACATAGCTAACCCAGGTCTTCTTCTCGACTTAAAGACCTCGGTTTAAACTTTAGCCTGAAATAGTTCTTGATGCTTCCATGTGGTTGATGGTCATCGAGCTGAGTGGAATCAACTCGAAAGTTTTTGTTGACAGATAACCTTCTTGCCTTGAGCTATGCTGTAAATTTGATTTGCCTCTGAGTGTGTAATCGAACTCGAAGGTATTTTGTTGACAGTAGCCCTTCTTGCCTTGAGCTATGCTGCAAATGATGCCTTTGAGCTAAGTGTAATCGAACTCGAAGGTCTTTGTTGGCATATAACCCTTTTTACCTTGAACTATGTGTAAATGATGTGTCTTTGAGCTGAGTGTAATCGAACTCGAAGGTCTTTGTTGCCAGATAGCCTTCTCGCCTTGAGCTATGCTATAAATGATGTGCCTTTGAGCAGAGTGTAATCGAACTCGAAGGTCTTTTCTTGGCATAACCCTTCTCGCCTTGAGCTATGCTGCAAATGATGTGCCTTTGAGTTGAGTGTAATCGAACTCGAAGGTCTTTTTTGGCAGATAGCCCTTCTCGCCTTGAGCTATGTGCAAATGATGTGCCTTTGAGCTGAGTGTAATCAAACTCGAAGGTCTTTGGTAAAACCCTTCTCGCCTTGAGCTATGCTGCAAATGTATGCCTTTGAACTGAGTGTAATCGAACTCGAAGGTCTTTTATTGGCAGATAACCCTGCTCGCCTTGAGCTATGTGCAAATGATGTGCTTTGACTGAGTGTAATCGAACTCGAAGGTTTTTCTTGGCAGATAGCCCTTCTCGCCTTGAGCTATGTGTAAATGATGTGCCTTTGAGTTGAACTGTAATCGAACTCGAAGGTCTTTTTTGAAGGTGCTTTTGAATCAAGTATCTTCCATTTTAGAGTCAAACTTGACTCTAAGTTGCAAAACATTATGTATGTAAAAAGAATGATGTGATGCTCTTAAGTATGTCTAAGATGGATGTAATATGAATTAGGTCCGTCTCC